GCTCCCCAGGGGAGGCCATCGAGCCTCGCTTCGGATGGGACCCCGTGCAGGAGACGATACGCCGGCTTGGGCACGCCCCCTGGGCCCGCCAGAGTCAGGGAAGCCCTGACCATGGCTTACGCTTCGCCTGTGTGGCTATGGGCAGCACCCGTAGTGGCGCCACCACCGCTGGACATCACGCCATTGGTCATGGGTCATGAAGGCTGTGCTGTGCACGGGCTGCTCCTGGGGGTGCAGGGGCCAGTGGTGGGCCAGTCGACTCAACCTACACCCTATTTGCAAGTCAATTCTTCGTGAGCTCAAGGTTGTGTTTGATCCTGAATTATGTTGGAGTCCCCATGTGGAGACGCAGATACGAACTGCCGTGGATCGGCTTGGGCTGAGCTTACGAGACCACGACCCGTATTTTGGGCCTGTGCCTGGAAGTGTTCCCGGGGGACGACCCGAGAGTTCGGAATGCCGCAGAGAGCGTGCGCCAGGGCCGCTCATATTTTTGAGCACGGTCCGAAGAAACTCAACATCGCGTCAGGCTTGTGTGGCGTATTCGCTGTCTGCAGCAGTGCGCCCACAGCCGCAACGACGTGGTGGGCGTGGGGAAGATCGATGTCGAGGTCTCCAGCGACCCCCGGTGGAAGAAGTTCTCGGAGAGCCTGCCGGCCGCCGAGAAGCAGGTTATCAACATCTTCCGATGTGGAACCATACGCAGTCACACCCGCGCCAGCAACGATGCCAACGCCAGGTGTGCGTTGTGCGGAGCGTTCAACCCGAGTGCTTGGCTCCTATGGAGCGAACGCAGCGGGCTGGATGAAGAGCGCCAGCTTTTCAGCAGGCTGCACCACGTCCAGCCTTCGTGGTGGGCTCGTCAGCCGCGAGTCACATCCCAAAGTGGATGGACTACGATCACCATCGTCGTGTTGATATGCAGACTGCCGGTTGTCGCTTGGGTTTCTTCATGTGTCTGGACCCGTTGAAGGCGCTGCTCGACTGAGAGCCCGAAGCTCGCATATGCTGCAGTTTCAGGGAGCGGAGTCTGTGGCCAGCATGCCGTCTAATCCTCTCAACGCGGCGGCCCGCGGGCGAGGAAGGCGCGTGTGGGCGTGCGTCTTGCAGCTGGTGGGTGCAACTGTCTGGCTTCGCTACGCTTCGGTGACGAAGTGTAATATCGTGAAGATTGCTGGGCACGCGTGTTCACTTGTCCAGGGGTACCGAGTTCCACGCGCTAGATTTGCTCGTCATGGTCGCCCCAGCCGACACTCGTGTTGGCTACGCGCCGAGGGCCTGGTGACCCAGGGCGAGGAGAGCGCGCGGCACTTTCTGGCACATCATGATCGGGCGCTTCCGGGCAGAGCCGACCCCGGGGGAGTTTCTGCATGTTGCACTTGCTTGTTGTGGATGTCGTGCCATTCGAGATCGACACTTACGTCGACACCTGCGCTGGGGGCCCGGTCTAATTATACCTGGCCGCTGCCGCCTATACAATGAAACCTCTAGGATCCGGGCTACGTTTTTCGGCCGCGGTCCAGGAGAACACGAGCGGGGAGGGGCCCAACAATGCCGCGTTCGGCCTCGCCCCTGTCATCAGAGAAGCGCCGTTCACCGTCGAAGAGCACCCCTCTGAGCGTCTAGGATTCCTTATTGAGGCTGTCATCCTGTCGCTCTAGCAGCAGGCGGACTGCTGCGTTGCAGTCGAGCATCTGATCAAGACCCCCCCCCCCCCCGAAAAGTTGGGCTAGCGTTTCTTGACCAACTCTGCCAGAAGGGTGGCCCAGTTTCCTGAGCACTCTCGCGCCTTCACCCTTGAACATCCGTGGCCGAGGTTTGTTCCAATCAACTTTAGGGGAAGTGGCCCAGATTTCTCAAATCATTATTTTCTTGTTCATACGTTCCGCGTTGAGTGCCCTCAAAAATTGTGGACCCCAGACACCTCGTGACTCGATCTTCCCGACGAGTGGGCCCCTTCAGGTTCTTCTCGGTGCTTGTTTTACCATCCACGGGGGTCCGCTTCTCGCCCCGTGGCCGCCGCCCTGCGGTCCGCCCTCCCAAGGCCCGAGGCTGGCTTCCAAAGTGGGCGTTCCAGGAAGTGCCTCGCCCTCGAGGATCGACGGAGTTCCGGGTTGCGCGAAACGACATTGTTAATTATGGCGCCTGCGCAGATAACAGCGATCATAACGATGACGATACCGATGACAACGATAACAGCGATAACGATATCGATTGTGATCACAACGTGCACAACGATCGTTGTCGTCGTTCGTTGTCGCCGCGGGGGGTAGCAGGGGGGGGTGGCGAGTCAGCTCGCGCGGCTGATTTGTCCGGAGCTTCCCAGCGCCAGAGGCGCCTAGGTGTCGACGGGCCCGGCGGCGGGGGCCGCCGAGGATGTCGTTGGCCCAAGGTTTTCGCAGCTGTTCGCGCCGCGTTGGAGCCCCTGGTGCGCTCTGGCCTTCGTGACGGGGTGCTCCAGAGGCCGCGGCGGCCTCCTGGGAGTTCCGGGGGGCACCTTGGGCCAGGGGAAACCTTTTGGCATCGCCCGAATGGTGGCGATTTGGCCGACGGGTTGTTGTCCGATGCGCCGGACGCAGGCCTGCTGAGCCCAGCCCAGACCTGCCTCGGGGGGTCTGTTGGCGCCCCTGGGCCTCTCCCACCTGGGCGCCGCGCCAGGGCATCTTGTCGCTGCTAGATATCGTTCGGCAGGGCTCGAGGGTGAGTCGTGGACGAAGAGGCCAGACGCGCAAGGAGGGAGAGCTTACCTGAGGGAAACAGGTTTTGAGAGAAGCGGGCCGTTTCAAACTCTCGGGCCTTTCCGCCGGCCCGGGGGGCGCCCAGCAAAAACGCGGTCGGAGCGATGTGTAAGATAGTGGTCGGTTCGAGGAGGGTACCTTGATGCTTTTTCAAATGTGCTGGATTGTCTTGTGCATCCTGAGGGGGGCGCCCACGAATGTTCTTCAGCGTGGCCGCTGGGGTGTCTCACGCGCTTGAAGGGTATTATTCCCCACATCCACAGTGGGGTTCTTGTTTTCTCTGGACACCCCGCGCAGGAACAGGAACCCACCATCATCATCAGCATCACTCATTCCTCACTCACTCACTCACTCATCATCCCTCACACACTCACTCACTCATTCACTCACTCACTCACTCATTCACTCATCAACACTCACTCACACGCTCATGAACTCACATATGATGATGAGTGTGCGCGTGAGAGAATGTGATAATCATCATAATCACCACTCAGTCAGTCAGTCAGTCACTCACTCACTCACTCGCCTTGGGCCTCGTCTGTGAGTGAATTGCGAGGATGTCTCAACCGGGAACCCCCTCCCTATGGGGCCCGCGGGTAATGTTATTAATCCGAGCGGGTCATCCAATTCCTGTAACTGTCGCCACTTTAGGGCTCTCGCACTGCCAGAACACCATTCCCAGGCCACATGGGCTTCGGAGTGAATTGCAAGGAAGTTTCAAGCGGGAGCCCCCTCCCTATGGGGCCCGCGGATCATGTTACTAATCCGAGCGGGTCATCCAATTCTTGTAACTGTCGCCACTTTTGGGCTCTCGCGCTGCCAGAACGCCATTCCCAGGCCACATGGGCTTCGTGTGTGAGTGAATTGCGAGGAAGTCTCAAGCGGGAGCCCCCTCCCTATGGGGCCCGCGGATCATGTTATTAAGCCGAGCGGGTCATCCAATTCCTGTAACTGTCGCCACTTTAGGGCTCTCGCGCTGCCAAAACGCCATTCCCAGGCCACATGGGCTTCGTCTGTGAGTGAATTGCAAGGAAGTCTCAAGCGGGAGCCCCCTCCCTATGGGGCCCGCGGATCATGTTACTAATCCGAGCGGGTCATCCAATTCTTGTAACCGTCGCCAATTTTGGGCTCTCGCGCTGCCAGAACGCCACTCCCAAGCCACATGGGCCTCGTCTGTGAGTGAATTGCCGGAAAGTATTAAGCGGGAGCCCCCTCCGGATCATGTTATTAATCCGAGCGGGTCATGTTATTAATCCGAGCGGGTCATCCAATTCCTGTAATTGTCGCCACTTTTGGGTTCTCGCGCTGCCAGAACGCCACTCCCAGGCCACATTTTGAATGCCCGGAGCCAACTGTAGGCCACTTCGTGTTCTTCGTGTTCCCAGAACACCACTCCCGGGCCACATTTTGAATGTCCGGAGCCAGCTGTAGGTTTTTTCGTGTTCTTCGTGTTCCCAGAACACCACTCCCGGGCCACATTCTGAATGTCCAGAGCCAACTGTAGGCCACTTTTTGTTCGTCGTGCTCCCAGAGCGCTATTCCCGGCATGCATCCCCGCGCCAGGGCGAGAAGAAATATACGCAGAAGAGACAGCCAGGACGCCTCACCAACCACGAGGACGACGGTGAGGGTTTTTTCCAGATTCGCCCAGAGGGTTCTCATGTGGGGTCCTTCCGTCGGAGTAATTATGTCCTATGTCCTGCCGCACTTGGTGAACAACTTTTTCTGATTTGCCGAGCGCGTTCCGCGATTCGCAGAGCGCCCACTCAAAAGCGCCAGAACAAACACAAACACACACGCGCACATGTTTGCTTCGATGCAATGGATCGTAGGTCTCCCGCGGCAGGTCCAGGCCATTTGCGAGCAGTGATTTAGACACTAGTGGAACTCTTAGTAAGTCCACTTCCGCTATACAGGCAAAAAAATTGGTTAGGACACCCTGTTTTGGATGAGTCCTGTCTGGGGCTTTTTGGGGGGTCTGGAACGTTTTTTTTGGGGGGTCTGGAACCTCTTTTTTGTTTCGATCATCGGTGAACAAATCATGAAAATGCCATTCCGCTTGATTTTTTCAGGCCATCGGAACGGTTTTATCAATCAGATTTCGGAAAGCGGACAAAAATACCGTGTCTCAGCATTAATATTTGCATGGCGTTCGCCTTGGTTCTCGTTAGCGTCACCCCCGCCCGAGACGTCGTCACGCACTACTCGAGCTCCAACTCTCGCCCGTGACCCCTCACAATTTACAGATGATTGGCGCTCCTGGGTAACATTTTCTGTCTGGTGGCCGCTTGCGTGTTGCATCCTGGGCGCAATGTGTGCTCAGGGCTTCGGACCGCGCCCATCGGTTCGGGCCTGCTGGCGGCGGGCCGACCGCCAGGCCCATGGATGGCTGCGCAGCCCAGGGCTTCAGAGGCCGAGTCGGGTTGAGGAAATGAGGAGGAAGAGGAGGGGCAGGAGGAGGAGGAGAAGGCGGAGGATGAGGAGAACGAGTAGGACGAGGATCTTTAAATGAATCATTTTAAGGCTGGCTGGCGTGGGGGGGGCAACGAAATCAGAGGATCCCATGGTCCCGGGGGCCAGGAAGCCAGGCGGCCACTACTCCCCCTCACGCCATCGTCGTCCCCTTCCCCCCACCTCAGTGTTTTCCTCTCCTCCATCTCATCCTCCATCTCCTCCTCCTCCTCCTCCTGCTCCTCCTCCTCCTCCTCCTCCTCCTCCCTCCCTTATCCTTAGTTTCTCTTGCTTCGATTCCTCCCACGCCGACCCCCGCCATCTCCAGGCGCTGGCGCCGTGGGCCCCCTGTCGCGTCTTGCAGCCGCTGCCGAAGCAGACGGATGCTGCGCCGCGGAGGGGCTACTTGCGGCTCCCGTCGGAGCCGCAGTTGCGGGCGATGCCCGTGGACGGCTTGGTCCAGCATGCGCTCTCGTTGCAGGCCGCGCTTCGCGAAGAGCGCGTTGCCCGACGTGCTGCTGAGAAGCGTTCTGCAGCGGAGCTCGCGGTGGCCAGGGGAGGAATGAGGAATGAGGATGAGGAGGAGGACGAGGAGGACTCCGAGGAGGAGGGGGAGGGAGGAGAAAGGTGGAAAAGTGGAGGAGAGAAGGCAATTCTAGGAGAGGAGGCCACAGAACAGGAGTCAGAAGGAGGACGTGAGCGTGAGGATGGATGAGGATGTGGGTGAGGCGATGGCGGGAGGGGAGGGGGGGAGGAGTCGGGGAGGAGGCGGGACCGACGAGGAGGAGGACATCCCGGAGGAAATGAAGATGACGAGGAGGATGCGCGCCAGGTTGTGCCAGCAGCCAACAACGTTGACCAGAGGTGGGCCGTCGAGCGCAACGGCCGCTACACGAAGCGCAGCTGCAGGGACCAAGTGAACAGCAGGTCTATCGGACACATCACTCCCCACGGTGCATGCGTGGTGGCGGTGCGCCGTAATCTTGGCAATGTCTCATCGCATTCGGTCGGTGCTGTAATGCTCGAGGATATGAGTGGCCAGACGGTGAGACGTTGCGAAGTAGACAGTGGGGCTGCTCTCATTTGCCACGCTCGCGATTGGCATCGGACGCAAGAGATGCTTATGACTGGGAATACCACGTTCGACACCCCCGTGGCGGCCCACATTTTTAGCGCCGATGCCACGAACAAGATGGCATGGATGGGTTCCAAGCTTATGGGCTGCGAGCTGGAGAGTTTCTATATCGCCAGCCCATCGCAACTCTACGACCACCATTGGGCAACATGTTCTGCTAGCCTGCGCCGTTTTACGGACTGCCTTCGCGTTCAGGACTCCAGCGCAAAGGGGGCCCATGAGTTGCTCCATAAGATGATCTCTGGGCTGGGATGTCCGACGTGGAGGACCTGCCGAGAGGCTTCATTCATGCCAGACCCCTTGATCGACGACGAGGATATCCAATTGGTGTCGAATCAGAATACGGCGCGCTGCTTCTTTTATACTTCTGACGGGGGGCCCGACGAAGAAAAAAATAAAAATATCATTGCAGCGCAAACGTATGACCTCTCACACGTATTTTTCTTCCCTGGATTTTGCTGCATGCACTCTTGCCAATTATGGGCGAAGTCGGGTCTCAAGCTGATGGATGATTGGTGCAAGACGTACTGCGACTCTGGCTCATTGAAATACTTCGCGACACTGTCCAAGATCGCCCAAGTTTGGCGCGACAGCGCCGGGGCCATATTTCAAGAGTTCGAACGGCAATGTGGACCACTGGCAGCTGTTCAACATGCGAAAACAATGCTGCCCCGATGTATCGCCGGGCGTTGGCAGTCGAGCCACGCAACCGAGACGCGACTTCGGGAAATCGGTCCCAGGTGGCTCGTTCCAGTCCTGAATGCGGTCCTGGAGAAGAAGGTTTCTTCTCGGCCTGATGTTCTCCCTATCGCTGACGAGATCGACCCGAACAACGAAACGACAGAACAGCACAGGCAGAGGATGGGGAGATGGCGTTCAGATGTTTCCAGAGCAGTTAATGACATCGTATTTTGGATGCTGGTTAATATTCATCAAGAGGTAAACGAAGTCGCCGATCATTTTATGGACTTCCAGGGGAAGGTGTTCACACCCGAAGATGAGGACGCCGACGGCAATCACCTCCTCCGCCTCGTCAATGGGAAAGGACGTTCGTTCATCGACGAGCTAGGTGCCCTCGTGGACGACCCCGGCAAATTTCAATTGCTGAGCGAGCCGAGGATTCAGCGCGAGTCGGGGCACGAGGTATACTCTGGCATGATTTTGCCGTTGGCGTCCCTGGCTGTCACGCTGACGACCCACCACGCCGTGAACATGAATCGTCGCATCCTCGTCCACTTGCAGGATTTCCCTTTGAAGCTGGCCTTGATGACCCTCAACCATTTCACTGTGGAGTGCGGGGTGCGTCGAGGCTAAGGGGCCAACGTTTGAGATGCTCTCAAAGAGGAGGTACGACAGGAGTAGGAGTAGGAGGTGGAAGGAGGACGAGGAAAGAGGGAGAGAGGGAAGGGGAAGGGGAGGGAGGAGGCTGGCGGAGGATGGAGGCAGAGGACTCCTCAGCAGGGACTCTCCTCCTCCTCCTCCTCCTCCTCGTCCTGCTACTTCCCTCCTCTTTCTGTTCCTCTTTCTCCTTCTCCAACCAAGTCCCGCCCCGGGCGACCCCTCCTCCTCCTGCTCCTCCTCCTGCTCCTCCTCCTCCTCCTCCTCCTCCTCCTCCTTCTCCTCCTCCTCTTACTCCTCCTCCTCCCCGCCCTTCCTCAACCGCATTGTCAAAAGCCCTGGGGCCGTCCAGGGACCATTCGAAGTCGCGTTGTCGATGCATAACGGATGCCCCAGAATCAGAGGGAGGGCCCAGGGGTCCAGCATCGCTCGAGAAATCATGTTGGCACCCATGGACAGTCTGGAGATCACCACGCGGAAGATACGTCGTCTGTACTCTCGGTCTCTAGATCAAGCCATGCAATATGGAACTACCACAGCAAGTCTGTATGCCCTTCTTCTGCCGCTACGGGTGTAATTCAAGGTTCGAGGGCGAGGGCAACCTTGTCCCAAAACCAAAGCCTCTCCAACCAACCCCCCCCCTCCTCCCCCCTCTCCATCCCTTCCCCTGGTCCCTGGTCCCTGACCCTTTCCTTTCTCAACCTCCCACCTCCCGCCTCCCTTGCTTCTTCGCTGCCGTCGATTCTGGCGGGGGGGGTGGAAGGGGCCCCCCGCTGGCCCCCCGGGCCTACCCCAGGTTGATATCCGGTGCAACGAGAGCTACAACAATTTGATCAAGACCCTCATCGATGTTGGAAAGCACACAGGACTCCCATTGCTCAGCACACGTGCGCAACTCAAGAAGGCCATGCACGTAGGCGCCAGGGGCGTGTCGTTGAGATGGTCGAATGTGAGAGAACGTGCTGAGGAGATCCTCACTTGCATGCATAATTACTGCCACGTGTCTTCAGAGGTGTCTGGGGATGGCCAGAGGTTCGGAGACCCTGAACCGATTGCGATACCAGATGACAGCGTCATCAAGAGCAGGTACTTCGACAGTTATCCGAAGCTGGCCAAGACGCCAGAATCCAGATGGGTGAGTGTATTCCGAGTGATGTTGAGCCACGTGCTGAAAGAACCCGATGCTTCTCTTGCGATTGCAATACATGACAAGCCCGGGAAAAAGACCATGTCCTTCAAAGCTGGTGCCCCGCTTTGGATATGTGCCGGCACGAACTATACTATGCGGTAGTTGGTCGAATTGTTTACTTATAGCTATGAGGACGATATCATTGCAGAAGTCAAGTTACCCCTCGTGATTTGGAGCAGCCATGAGCTACTGGCCCGATACCACCAGCAAGTCCAAGTGGAGCGTCAACGGCCAAGAGCTGTAACATCGCATAATCTTACGTGGATGATCGGGATCGGTCCACAATTTGGGAGACATCGTGAGGTAAACAAGCAGTTCTTCTACGCAAAAGTGAAAAGCAGCGGCCAGGTAGGTCTCAATATTACGCATCATGTCCCGAGAGTGAAGAAAGAGAAGACATGCCCATGCCCACCAGATTTAACAGGCCCGGCCCCAGGTCCACCAGGTGCACTGCCACTGCCGCCACCTGAAGGCCCTCCTCCTGACCCTCCTGCTGACCCACCAACTGAGTCGGTCGCAATGGATGCAGGAGGAAATTTGCTATATGATCAAGAAGTGATGGACGCTTTGGTGGAGCAGCTCAACCTCGAGGATCAACTTTTCGAGGCCGCTGACCATCGCGACGAATGGCTCCAACGGGATGCTCAGGACTTAGACCAGGAACCCTTTGAGATTCGAGGTGAGGTGCAGTGTATCTAGCTTAGCCTAAGTTAGCCATAAAATATCCAGGCCATAACACTCCATGGCAAAATCCACAACGCCCCCAAGATCGAAGTTGTTGGGTTGTTTTGGCTTTAGGTTTAGGCTTAGGCTTCGAGGCGCATGGGGTCTGAGATTTGGGTTCTACATTGCTCTGCGTCGCATTGGAAACTGCATTCGACGCCAGCCCGCCTCTACTCGGATGTACACCCCCCTTGTTCTACCCCAACTCTCGTGAGCCCCCTGAGGACTCCATTGAGCACATGGAAAGGACGGTGATGAACGAGCACATCTTGAAACATTACATGGGCGACATCGGCGACATTGAGTTTGGAAATGGCGACATTGTGGATGATATCGATGCAGCTGTCGATGATGCGATCCGTGACCGATTGCTTGCTGACAAGCACATGGGCAGGAACAGCGACGACGTAGAGCAGGCGAGGGAACCAGAGGAAGAAGTGGCAGTGGCACCAGTCGACGTTCGTCTTGTAGTTGAGAATTGGGTTTTCGAGCTACGTCGCAGCTTGGCAGCTCTGGGTGATGCGGCGACAAAAGTCCAGACAGACAAGCTGTGCGATCAAATATCTTTGGTGGCACGTCCGCCAGATATCAATTTCATTCACTGGGTTGATCATTCAAAAATGATAGGACGACGCTGCAATGTCGAAGGTGGTGAAGTTGTGTGGCCGACGGTATGTAACAAGAAACACTTTCCAGAACAGTGTTGGAAAGGTGACATCATTGTGCACCCTGCGATCGGTTGTCGTGCGCGCCGTAGCAAGCTGATGAGGGAGGCCGTTCCAGACGACATACGGCGTCTGGCGCGAATCTGGGAACTGAGCATGGGCGAGGACGGGGACTTCTCTCGAATTTTGCCAACATGGCCTCAATGTATGTCGTGTGGGCTCGGTGACAAGCCGCGCAGGCCAGGTTATGAGGTGGAAAGGGAAGGGTCGGTGTTACATTGTTCCCTTTGCCTTTGCCAGTGGCACTCGGACTGCCAGAGCATGGTTTTGAACGAAGATCCGAGACCCTATTCATTTGTTGAGTATTACCCAGCGAAGATGGAAGTGCCGCAGCAAATCTTTGACAGTCATAATGCGTGCTTGCTTTGCAGGAGTTACTTGTTCTGGGCCAGAGACTGACCAAGCATGAGGTTGATTGTGTGATCCGCATGGCGTGC